AGGGGCCGGAGCTCCTCCAAGGGTGCTTGGGGCAGGCAGACACCTCTCTACGCCTGGCAAGTGAGCATCAGCCATCCTAGGTAAGCTCAGGACAGCCCCCTGAGCCCAGACACCCTGTGCCAGGGTCACCTCTGACACTACGTGGGGAGAGCCCCAGCCAAACCAGGCTCCCTGCCAGCATGGGTATGGGTATGGGCCAGGAAGAGCTGAGTTTAGGCAGTAACTGCATCCTTGACCTGCAGTCAAGATGACACGTGTCCCATAGCTCTGCTGAGGCACCCAAGGATGCTCCAATGGCATCAGAGCTGCTGGCCACCAGGCAGAACACGTGAGGGGAAATCAGGCTCGTGCTAGGTACGTGGTTCCTCCATGCAGACCTCCTGTGATCCTCCTCACTGCAAGTCTCACCACCCTGGGGACACCCTGACACAGGTCCCACTTGGCCCTGATGAATGTGGAGCCCCAAAGCCATCTAACATAGGACCAGATCTGGAGCTGCCTGCCAAGGCTTAGCAATGCCTCATGGGCCATTGTCTACACAGAGAGGAAAGCCAGAGATCAACCAAATGCTCAGAGAAGACACCAAATGGAAAAGAGAAAAGGGTTAAAAATGTAGGAACAGAGACTGGGAGGATGCCCCAGAAAGCAGAGCATCCCCATCACGCTCATCATTCCCAGAGCTGGTGGATGCTGCCCCATGAGGCTCTGCCCAGAGGTACCCAAGGATGGGGGAGTAAGAAAAAGCCCCCCAGTCTGAGTGTCTTCACATCCCACTGTGGGATACAGGGTTTGGTGGACCTCCAGTCTAACCCAGTCCAGCCTCATTTCAATTTTCATGAGCTAATTTTAATTTTAAAAGCCCCCCTGGAATTATATTGCTTTCAGAAAATGTTTGACCTGTGTGCTATTGGCCTGCAAGTCCCCAGTGAAACCAAAAGGAAATGTGTGTGCAAAGCCTGAGGAATATTTATCAGGCTGATTTTGAGTTCAGTTCATTAGCAACTACCTTGATTTGTCTTCCCCCGCTCTTGCCAATTTACCAGGGCAACGTCTTGGAAAGTCGCCTCATTTGGAGAGAACAGGATGTAATTAGCCAGATAATCTGCTGATTCTTCTGTCGAGCTCTGTGTGCCCAGTCTCGACACGGGCAGTGGCTGTGCAGGCTGGATCAGACCTGATTTCTGGTGCTGTTTATGCACTTAGTGCTACGTAGGCAGGAAGGAAGATGCTGTCCTGCCCTCAGGCAATGACAAATTCACCTCTTGGATCATTTCTCAAGCTGTAACCCCTGGGCTGAAACCATCTGGGAGCTTTTGTTCCGGGGTTAGCTTCTTTGCCGTGGCAACAGGATTCCCAAGGGTATGCGGATACCTATTTTTGAAAAGGATGAGGATGATTTATTTCCCTAGGGCAGCTCATTTCTATTTTCTCACTGTGTCCATCCTTGATGCTTTATTCCAAACCACTAGCTAAGGTCAAGCAACTCAGCCACAAGGTGCGGCACAGCAAGGGCTCAGTCACAAGTTACTGGGCGCAGATGGCACCACATAAGTGATGCCTGAACATTTTAACAGATAAGGGAAATTTCAGGGAATACTGCAGAGTCCTTCGGGAGACAGAGGAGAATTGTCTTCTACTAACTCAGTCCTGAACCTGCAATTCAACCAATGAAAAGGGATGCTGCATGTTGCATAGTATACTCTTCTCCCACTCACAACCCAGCAAAGGCCCCTCAGCACTGCCACGGGGGCTGTACAGGCTGCCTGCGACACTAGGACCGTACCGTAGGTCTATGACTGAGTGGTGCCTCCCTTAATTACCCCTATCACCAGGATGGAAAGGCCATACTGTGTGCCTTGCGCTGATAAGCGCGTGCCACCTTCTACCCTGGGGAAGGGCCCTGTCTCGGAGACGGGGGTGCAAGTGCCCTGTGTTTCCCTCTCAGATCGCAGTTGAACTGTGTATCAGCTCCTTGAGTCTCTGGCTGGTCAGTCAGTGGGTAGGTGCAGAGTTGCTAACAGATGAGAGCAGCGAGGACCAGAGCAGGGTGTCACAGCGGGGCAGTTTATGGGGAGCGAGGGACAACAAGAACCCAAGAGAGGCTGGTGGGGAGACAGAGCAGGGGCTGTGAACGCCTGTCCCACGTGGAGAGGAGCAGAAGCGTGACAAACGGGGCAGAGCAGCGAGCACTAGGTCCTGCAGCACCCAGCCCTTCCTGCCACCAGGCTCGGGGCTCTCCGCAGCCCTCCTGCTGCCAGCCCATTAGGAGCTCCCTGGAGAAGTCTCTCAGCCTGCTCTCCTGGTTTTGAATGCAGGGGTTATCACACAGCTTTCTCTAACTGAAAAATGAGCAGGCAGCAGTGCTGTGTGAGATGTGCCAGGCAAGAGGGATCACAGCACTGACTGGCAGCAGAGAGAGGCGGCGGAGGAGGGATTCAGCCGAGGGCACGCTTTCTGTGACGAGGACTGTACGCGGCTGATCCTCTTCTGAGGGCCAGGCCAATACTGAAACATGTTAGGAGGGACAACCAGACCTCCCTGAGGATAGAGCCCGGGCTGGGGCAGGGGTGGCTGGGGGGGGGAACCAGGATCCACAAAACTGACAGTGTCTGAGCAGAGGGCACCGCCAGACACCATCACCTGCAGCACCCAAACCGGGGCTGCTTCGCCAAACGGGGGGGAAGACAAATCCCCCCCCCACCCCCAGAAAGCACATCCTCTCCCCTCCCCTCCCCTCCTCTCCAGAATTGTCTCTGGGTGGGCTCCAAGAGGTCCCTCAGGGGCTGTGGGTTTTGGGGGTCACTCCTTGACGGAAGGTGTGAGTGCTGAAGGGGTGGTTCACAGCAAGGCTGGCCTTTGCAGGAACGGCGGTCGGCCGTCTGGAAACGCAGCACAAGCACATCACAGCTAGGAAGCGTATCAAGAAAATAAAACTTTTTCCCTAAACTGGAAACCCCCAGGGTTGCATCAAAGCACTACACGCACCCCGGGGTCAGCTGGGAAATGTCCGTGTGTGGGAAATTCAGGCCTCCCCCTCGCCTCCGCCGAGGTCCTGGCAGCGCCCTGTAACGGCGGGAGCGCTGCCCTGCCCTGCCCCCTCTCCCTC